TTTGCTAAGCTTGTTGTAAGTAGGTGCTTTAGACCACTGAGCCATCTCACTAGCCCCGAGAACTTTTTCTTAAAGAGAAAATTATAGGTACATTTTCTCCCCACAAGTGCCAAGAATTTTTTATATTAATACTTTCAAGCTAGCCTTTCTTAGGCTGTGCAGAGCCAGTGCCAGGTCCTGGGGGTCGAGGCATGGCGCCATCTCTGGCCCAGTGGCCCAGGTGTCAGAAAAGAAGCAAGGCCACTGCTCATACTGTGAGATGAGGCACAGGATGAGGATGGCTTGAATACTCTGAAAGTGACAACCTCAGAGAAACACAGAGTACTTTCCTCGAGACTTCTTTCCCTTATATCTGGTCACAGTCTTGGGAGGCACCTTCTCTCCCCCTCTTCTTCCTACTCCTCTCCCAGTATTTTAAACAAATGCGTGTGCCAATTTGGAGTGTCCTTTTCCAAGGATGATAGAGCTATGAGGTTACCCACAGCCTGGTGCCCTGCTGATCAACCAAGATACACAAGTGTAAAACAAAGCAGATGTAAAACAAAGAGATGCATATCTCTTTATAATCTGTGTGTGAAGGGTATTTTGAGGACACTCCCAGGCATCAAATCAGCATCCTGTCATAGACTCCCATGGATAAGATGCTTTCAGCATCGGTCCCTCACCTGTCCCTGGGACACCACCGACCACATCTTTGCCCAGAAGGAAACCATCTGAGTGCTTCCCAGCCCAGTGTCACAGCATCCCTCAGAGTTCTAAATGTTGAAGTGTCTGTACTTCCCCCCAGGCTCTGACTTCAGCAGCCTGACGTGAGCTGTGGACATTGATATCTTTAAATGTGTCTTACATTTCCTATCCACAGCCAGGGTGGGAAGCCTGTAGCTTACCTCTGCTTAACCATCTTCAGCAAGGTTAGCCTTACCCTCACTCACTGAGTGCCTGTGGCTGAAGGACCCAAGTGCAGTGCTAGGGACACAGGACAGGAAAGCTAGACTCTGAAATACCATCACCTAGAAGGCAGAATGTGTGTCCTGTTGTTGCACGTATGAGCTACCAGCTGAGGGGACCACTAAGGGCTCTCCCCCAATGAAGCAGAGAGCCTCCTGGGGAGGTCCTGCCTGAGGTTGTCTTGAGTGAACAGGACCAATGAGATAAGATTGTTGTAGGCATGAGTAAAATTAGGAAGTAACAAAACCATAGGTGCTGAAAGGGAAAACTCAGAAACTAGTTAAGTGTTCCCCAAGTGTGACATCACAGAGGCTAGAAGGAAGTTGGGTGCAGAAGGCAGCTACCCTGAGCCTTCCACTCACACGTTAGGACAAATGAACAATTCCAGCCAATTTATGGGCAGAAACCACAGCAGGTTTGAGTTCCAGAGACCTCTTCAGGCTACCTTGTCAGAGAGGCAAAACTTTACCCAGCACTGAAGGTCTGATGATTGGCTTGGAAACAGCAAACTATTCCAGGAGAAAGATGAACACCTTATGCTGGTTAGAGAGATTGGAGGTGGAGCTCAAGTCTTAGTTGGAGATTAAACACACAAAATCAAGGTGACCTACTATAAAAACAAGTGAGGAAAGTGAGGGAGCTACCCTCTCCTCAGGGTCTTGGCCTCATTAGCCAGGTGGCTGGCGATTACACAGCTTGGATAGCATGCTCAGCAATGTCTTGAGTGTCCCAGGATGGAAGCATGGCTTTTCCTTTATTCTTCACTCAAGAATAGCACTTCTCTGGTTAAGTTATCTCCTCTAATTTGATACAGATGTATGAGAAAATAAGTACAAGCCCAGCTGTGAGCCGGCTGAACCAGCCCTAACCCTCCCCCACATCTGACATTGGCCACAGGAGGAGGCAAGGAGTACCATGAGTGCGGTGTTGGAATTGGCTTCCGGTCTGCTGAGGTCCAAGTGCTGGGAGGACTCAGTGAGCAGTTGGATATGTCAGCCTGAAATTCAGGGAGGGGAGGAGCTATAGATTGGTAATTGTCAAAATGTATTTGGTAACTGAAACTATAAAGTCCTCCAAAATTCCCAAAGGAGGCTGTCATGAGTTGGAAAGAAACTTTCACCGGGCTCAGCAAACCTGAAGGCTTCTATAGACACTGTGAAGCTCTTACCTGGGATCCCATGCACTTTTCCAGACCTTAAAACAGATTGATACAGTCTTCAGAATGGAGCAAAAGGGAATAAGTCTTCCTTCACAATAATGAAGAAAATAATGAAGTCAAATCTATTGTCCTTTGGTGTCCCGGTATGTGTGGCTCAGAGAGACTAAGTAAATGTGGCATGGTCACACAGGTCACGAATGACAGTGTTGAGTTTTAGAGAGCTGTTGCACCAGGACCACTCTCTCTACTGCTTCTCCCATAATGAAGGTGTTTTGTTTGAGTCTGGAGAATCAAATCTGCTACTAACTTAGCATGATTTTAACTGCCATTGATGTAGGAGATATTTAAGTAGTTTACTTCAGACCCAAATAAGATGATACTTTCTTTATCCACCCATACCACCTGCACAGACTTTCCCAACCCATCTCCTTTCATCATTTCTCAAAATAAGACTGATCTCTTATTTATAGAGCATACATACTGAACGATAAAGACAATGAGGTATCAACCAAATAAATCTTGGAGATACACAATTAAGCTGGGTGCTGCTCTTTAGCCAAAATAATGACTCCACTTTTTGAAAAGGTTGCTGTCCAATTAATTAGATAGCATCTGCGTGTGTGTGTGTGTGTGTGTGTGTGTGTGTGTGTGTGTGTGTTGCTACCAAGACATGATTTCTTAAGTGTTGGTTGGATTAGGTTGGAATATCATCATTCATTCTTGAAGGCAAGTTCCACTAATTCCAGGATTTTATCAATCCCAAATCTGTTGCTTTAAGTAGTCTTAAAAATCTAAATCTAGAGTTAAATTCCATCCCAACTTGTTACCTGGCAGGTCATTAGGAAGCAGGGTTTCCAGTAGCACTTGGTGTCTCTCTCCTGGGTGTCTCCAGCCTAGGTCACCTTGGAGAGCAGAGTGACCATTGAGCTAAGGAACCACGTCCTAAGTTCTCCTTGACGAATCACAGAACAGCCACATTTTCCTATGAATGTTTCTCATTTTCCTTATTCACATTTGCCCCAAGCTTTGGTGTTTATCTTATGTATGGAAAATCTATACTATAGCTTCACAGTCATAAATTTGTGCAGCTTAGTTCAGTGAGATGTTCTCATTTTCCTGGACATTTCATTTCCCAACCTGCCCACAGGTAGGTAAATTCCCTCTATGCTATAATTTCACTGTGCTTATTAATATTTCAATTAAATGCTTATCTGGGTAACTAATATCTCCTTCTCCTCTGACCTGTATGCTACCAAGGACTTACATGGACTGAGTCTTTTTCAATTCTCAGTATATGTATTTATTGAAGAATTTGTGGTCAAAAGTCAGCTAGTATCTCAGCTCTTATAACTGTCATTATAGCAGAAAGCACTCTGCCATGGGAAAGGGCTATACGGATTTGAAATATGCTATGATGTCTTCACCTGGTAGAAAAAATCCCATCTTTGCATTTTATGAACTGGTAATAATTTCTCAAGGGTCCTAATCATTTGTTTAAGAGTATATAAAAATTACACCCAATTTTAAGTTTTCATGCATCAGACTTGGCTGTTCCAATCACAGCAAGTTTCTTATATCTTAAACTGTCTTTGTTATTAGACCTTCCCTTCCCCCTCTTTATTTGTTCCACCAATAATTTTGTTACTGGCATGAAGCACAATGTGTGAGGCAATTTGGAATATGAAGATAAAATAGATAATCTGCATCCTTGATGCTAGAGCCTATGACAAGCAAAAGAGAAGTTAATCATGCAAGGCAGGCATAGCACTGTGAAAGCTCTCTCCTTGCTGCCAAGTGGGAGCTGCATGGCTCACCGTCAGAAGATGTGTAGTTGTTCTATCAAATAGATGAAAACCAGCTTTTTCTATTTTAATAACAATGGAATCATACTTCTTGAACTTGATAGAAAGCAGTGTTCATGAATCCCTGGGAGAATTTAAACTTAGTGGCAAATCACATTATTTTTTTAAGGTTAAAGTAAATATATTGTTGCCACTACTGTATTTTTTTATTTTATTGAGAAAGAAATATCAATGAGACAGTTTCAAAACTGATTAATAAGACAGTTTCAATAGTTAATACATTGTACATTATTATCTTCTTAGTGGTTATCCATAGTACAAGATGTTATTCAGATAGATAGGGAAGTGAAACCCAACTATACTTTTAACATAAAGTAAATATTCAAAGATTTTAGAAAAGAAATGTGAATGATGTAAAATTCTGTAGGAAAGAAATGTACCCTTTCTTGTTTTCAGAACATAGAATTTTCAAGAGATTTCTAGAGAATATATACAATCCTCAAATTAATAGGTTTTGTGTGCTGTTTCAGGCCAATATTAAAGTAAGAACTAAAATAGCAGTCACTGGGTCTGGGGATATAGCTCAGCAGCATAAGCACCTTCCTGGCAAGTGCAAGGTCCTAAGTTCAATCCCTGGTACCTTAAAAAAAAGCAGTCACTACTGTTAACA